ACTACCCCATTCAGTGAAGTAGGGTAGCCATTACTCAGACGTTTGATGTCCCTAGCTGCAGCCTGCCACCTGCTGATTTCATGCAGCTGAGGGTTAGGAAGTCAGCTAACTGCCTTTCCCTTATCACAACACTATGCGGGGAAGGGGGAGAAACCTCAAGAAAAACACAAATTCTTGGAAGAACACTTTAAATTCCTCGCCATCCACATCGTCGGCCTATCAGAGCGCTGCATGACAGCCGAACGCAGACCACAGGAATTGCAAACACCCTTCCCTGCTAGGAGGGTGTGTGTGCATGTGTTGATCTTACCTCAGTACCTCTATAACACACCCTTTTCTGCACCTCTTCTCTTTTTTCACTCCTCCCTCTGTCCTGTATGGCTTGCCATAACTTTACCAATGCAGAGGAAAACGGCTCTTTGCTGCATGTTTGTAGCATGTGTTTTGATTCCCTTTTTAACAGGTGTGAATGTGGAGGGTAAACATGTTATGTAGTGAGTACACATGGCTGTTCCAATACCGCAGCTCCCTCAAGGCATTCAGCAGCAGTGAAAAACACAACAGCATTTATAGTACCTCACAATCTGTTCACATATATTTAAACCAATATGGCCGCCGCAACACTCCCAACAGATTTTTCACTCACACTTATTCTTAAAGGGATGGTTCTCTCAACAATGAAAATTTTGTCAATATTTCTTCACCAAACCCGTACAACTTGCTTCTGTGGAATGCAAAATGTGAATTAAAAAATATCTTGGCCACTTCTTTTAGAATAAGAAAAATGAATGGGGACTGAAGCAGTCAAGTTTCAAGATGATGAAAAAGCTCCATTAAATCATAGTGGAAGTATTTGTGTGCTTTATTACACCAATTTAACCATATGATAGTTGTGTGTAAGGACCAAAATATAAATTGACAATATTGACAACTGCCCTAGCTTTGTGCCACATTGATAGTGATAGATGTGAGTCCAATACATGAAGGAATCATTATTGTAGGTCTTTTTAGTGAATCAGTTGATACAGTTTCCAAAACTGGTCTCACTGATTCATTTATCTGGTTATTAACTATTAACTGATCTGGTTCTCGAGTTCAGCTCTGTGAACTCCATTCTGTGATCTAATTGTAGCAGTTACCAACCAACTGAAGACAAAGACTTTGAAAATTGTTCCACACTAGTCTTATGGGCTACTTTAATGGTACTTTATAGGGTGCAGAAAAGAGCAAGAAATATAATGAAATTGTATCCTTTTATCCACGAAAGAGAGTAAGGCTGATGATACACGGCAAATTTTTGAGCAATTTTGCCGGGTGACTTTTTTTGAGCAATGTTTCTTGGGCACTTTCCCATAGAGACTGGGTTAACAAATTTCTGTCTGGATACTTTAGATCAGTCGTGGACCCTGTGTCTAACCTGGTTGCCCGTTGACGGGCCCGACGGCAACATTGCTCAAAAAGGTGCCCGTGCATCATCAGACTAAGTCATGCAGATTTGAAACTATGTGAGGTTAGTTAAATGACTATGCATAAACTAATTTTGAAAATGATCGCTAGATGTTCTAGGTGGTTTGCATGTTGATTATAAAAATAATATATTTTCTTTCATTTAGAAAGAGGAAGGAAAAGTCCAAGGTCAGCTCAACAACACGGACTCCAGCCAGTACATCCGAGACCTCAAGGATCAGATAACAGATCTCAAACATGAGGTAATGCCCATGTGTTTCTAGACATTTTTGAGTATTGTTTTAAAGCATTTGTAGACTATGCACAATTTAAAATAGACAGAATAATAATAAGGGCCTCAGCTTGGCCACCGATGTCTTCATCTCTGAATGCATGAATAAAGTATAAATAAACGGTAACAATTTACAATAAGGTTCATTAGTTAATGTTCATTAATGCATTAACATTAACTAAAAATGAGCAATTCATTTGTTACAGTATTTATTCAACTTTGGATTGCAATAATGCATTAGTAACTTTTTTCATTGTTAGTTAACTAATGTAGTAAACTAATGTTAACAAATTGAACCTTATTGTAAAGTGTTATCCAATAAAGTTTGAATAAACATTGCAAAAAAAAATGTCAGGATTAATTTTTTTAATGAAAATATTGACTTGATGTATCTTGATGTAAGCAGTAGTTACACGTGTAGTTTTGTGCACACCCGGAATGGTTTGTTATGAGTCTTAGTGTCAAAATCTACTTGGTGGCTGTGATGTTTTACCCACCCATGAGATGCTTCTTTTCCTGCCTGATGTATGTTTTTGATCTTTACTATTTGTTGTGTGGTTAGCTTATTTTTCACAAGCTTTATGAGCGTTTTGAACAGATTTGTTAGTTTTTCGCAGGCTTTTTTTTAAAGTGTTAACTACGCCCTGTGCGTGGCCTCTTCCTGCACTTCAGTTTGCCCGCACACACCCCGTCACACTCTTAGCGCTACACCTATCCGTTCACAGGTGCTGTTATAACCACCCCAAAATCTTTTCTGTCGACCCTGGGTTTTAATAAAGTGTCTGGACCTCTGGTAGAAGGTTGCCCTCATCAAATGTTCGGGTCCATTAATCAAGACAGCAGACGGTTCTTAAGTAGACCAGCAGTGGACAGATACAACAAGAAATGCATACATAATTTTCAGTGAGAAATTTTCCCAGTTTACATAGTATTACCTTGGCTCTACACAGTCATTGGAGATGGCACACTAAAATAATTTTTGAATAATAAGTAGTGAAATCTAGAATTTTGTAATAAAAATTAAGGTTTAGTACTCATTTATTCTCTAATTCATTCATTCAAAAAAGTTTATAAATAGACAAAGAGAAAAAAAAAAAAACCTGCTTGCGTTTTAGAGTCTTCCTGTTTGACCCGGAACTGTTTTTGATGCTCGGGGTTAAAGGGTTAGTTCACCCGAAAATGAAAATTAGGCTGTTTTTTACTCACCCACGATGCATCCTAGGTGTATATGACTTTCTTCTTTCAGACGAATCCAGTCGGAGTTATATTAAAAATTGTCTTTGATCTTTCAAGCTCTATCGTTGTACTCAGCGGGTGTTGCAGTGCTTCGGTTCAAAAGACGTGAAATAAAAAGCACCTTTCCATAAAAAAAAAGTGTCTCACACGGCTCACTTGAATCTAGCTTGCGCCAGCAGTTGTACACAGAAGCAGTTCCGGGGGAATAACGTATGAGGTCAGCTTTGCGCATGCGCCGGTGAGTCTCGTGAAAACCAACGTTTGTTTACAGGATCAAAAGAAGCAAAGTTTCCTTACTTTAGCAAAGGAAAACAAGTCTCCTCTTAGCTTATATCGAAATCCTCCGACATTCTTCTTTACAAATCCTCGAAGTTAAAAGTTGCGATTTTCTAGGCCGGTATGGCTAGGAACTATACTCTCATTCCGGCGTAATAATCAAGGAACATGGTACAGCAGGCGCAATAATATTACGCAGCACCTGAAAATAGTCCCCAGCACGCTCCCTGTGCAAGCAGGTGGTCACGTTTGTTATGTTGACGAAAGTTATCCTATTTTCAGGCGCTGCGTAATATCATTGCGTCTGCTGCACCCATGGTACGGCAGCAAAGTTCCTTGATTATTACACCGGAATGAGAGTATAGTTCCTAGCCATATCGGCCTAGAAAATCGCAACTTTTCATTTTCCGTCGGTCTTAGTACACGATGTAACTACAGAAGAGTCAAGTTTTAAATAGGAAAAATATAGAAACTCTTCGGTCATTTTTGAGCGAGATACTAATGGTCTAATCAGATTCAATGATCTATGCTAAGCTACAGCTAAAAGTGCTACCGTCAGACCCGGAGATCGGCTGAATGGATTCGAAAACGGTAAAACTCAACTGTTTAACTCTAGGGGAGTTGGAAAATGTGTTCCTTTAACTGTGACATGAGGCATTGCAGTTTTGGATCAGAAGGATTTTCATCATTGACGTGTAGAGGGAAGTGGCCACACAAAATTTCTCAAGATTTGTCTCCTCTCTGCAAGTTTTAGTGTTGTGGTTATTAATGAGTACCACCGAATTTTATATAAGTACTGTTCCAAATAACAGTCATGGATAGGTCATGTTTACAATTGAGGGCTGAGGACACAGTTCTGCGTTGGAGTGATGTTCAGGTTAACAAATCCAGAGGTTTTAGATGTCGTCAGGGCTGATTAATTTGCGGGAAATCACTTTTAGTTGCATGCTTCTCTTTTGACAACTTTTGATTGTCTGTAGGTGGTGCAGTTTTTGTGGCCAATGTGTTTTTTTTTGGTTGCTGCCCACTTCTGAAATTGAGATTTTTTTGTTAATTTTTGCTATTTCTGTGGCAGTGACACACTTCAAGCTGTGCCACTTGGTAAACTCTTGACTTGCACTCTTGAAAGTCTGATATATAATAAATTGATCAAAATGGACCGTTATCATTTTTTCAAAGATAACTTCCTGAAAAATCCATGAAAAATATCCATCCATCTATTTCCCAAACTGCTCGTCTTATGATTCTCAATATGGGGGTCGTGAAAGGGGTCTCGTGACTATTTAAAAGGTATAGTTTTATTTTCTAATTACAATAAATATTTTTTAAATACAGGTTGATATGGATGGTGTAATGTTTATTTAGAATTTGACATGACTAGCAGTTGTAAGTATTGTGTTTGGAAATGTGTTGACACAATATGTGCAGTGGGCATGACCTCAAAATTGACGTTTTTTTCCTTTGATGTATTTATGGAACAACCAGTTTTAAAAATCCCTAGTGTGATGTTTAATACACCATATATAGCCAAATGTCGCCTGCTTTCGTTTTTTAGCTAGACAGAAAACGGAAAGCGTTTAATTGATTTATACAGGGTGCAGGTCAGGATGTAGTCTGATTTTCTCCTCCTGCCTAATACTGACAACAAAAGGCTGGTGGTTTGTGGTCAAACAACTTTCTACTAAATCGTTCATTCTCGGGCCATCTCAATCCCTATCAACAGAGTGCAGCAAGACAGCTTTACCTCTTAAAGCCTACCAGGTTCCTCTTCTTGCACAATCAAACAGCAGCATGAATCCTGTCTGTAGCCACAAACCCTTACGAACAAGACTGATTTGGTTGTTTGTGGATGTTTAGTTTGAGCGAAGAGCGATTTATTAATGTTTTGATTCTTTGATGATTCTCATTAGGTTGTGGTTAATTGATGTGAAATACTGCCATTCTTTTGCTCTTCTCTCTCTCTTCCTTACTTTCCTTCATTCTGTATATATATATATATATATGTGTGTGTGTGTGTGTGTGTGTGTGTGTGTGTGTGTGTTTTGCTTTATTAGACTTAATCATATATTAAAATGACTTTGAAAATCTGATGTATAATTGATCTAAATCAACAATTTAGTTTCAAGGCCAACTTCATCAATTATCATCGCTCACCTTTACAAAATATATATCATTCCTCTATAAATGTTTACTAGAGATTTGTGGACTGAAGTTTGTAAAATTGTGCTTAAAAGATCAGCCACACTAAAGTCGGCTTAGTCATAACCTTAAAACAAAAGGACGGATGTCTCGTATCTGGTTGCTATTTAAATCACGTAGTTGCTAAACAGCGAGAGGTTTCCAATCAGCCGCATTTGCACCAAGCAAAACCATACTTGAGCTAATCTCTCAACATCACAGAGTCATGACTTGTCATACTTGCGGCCTCACTTGCCATTTTGACACCGTCTTCCGGCCTGTTCACTTTTTTCTTTCTGTAGCCTCTACAACCCACACATCAGCCCTCTTCAGTGTGCATTGCATACATGAACACGGTGTTCTCATTTGAAAAACTCTTGCTTGTTTTAGAATTAGAGTAATATCAGATGGAATGACTACATTGTGGAAGGGACATAAAACAGAATGTTACTGATTGTGGTGAAACTGAAATACCCATGAATATGTCTTTCCCCACATGTCTGTCTTTCTGTGGCAGAATGTTTCAGGTAAGAGCATACAGAACTCCATCAACTGTGTGTTATACCACAGAGCACGTTTCTCAGTTCAAAACCACATTTCACACAAGGACTGTTTACTGGCTTAAAGTTGGCCATTTCATTTACTACCTTTTTTGAGCATGAACTTAATTTCAATTTGATGGACTTGGAGCATTGTATTATACTATATGATTTCATGTCCCTCAAGTGCAGATGACCTGCTGACTTATTACTAGCTTTTTTAAATAGTTCACACAAAATTGAAATGTTCATAATTTACTCGCCCTCATGTCGTTCCAAAACTTTATGCATTTGTTTCTTCAGTAGAATACAAAATATGTAAATTTGAAGAGTTGAAAAAATGTTTTTTTTTTTTTTTTTTGGTCCATACAGTGATAGTTGTTAGTCAAAATGTCTTCTTTTAAGTTCATACACATTTAAAACAACATGAAGGTGAGAAAATAATGACAATTTTCATTTTTGGCTGAACTGTCTCTTTTGTTCGACTATGTAGTTCAAGTCGTTTGTGTAGAAAACTAATTTAATGCATACATTTGAAGCATTTTGACCCTTTTATCCCATTAAATGTGTTTGTTTAAATGGATGGTGCTGTTCAGAGATTGTGCGTTGGTGTGTTTTGCAACTGTTACCTTTCCTATCATTATCTTTTGTGAAGAAATAGTTTCCTAGCATTTCATTTGCATATTGTCAAATGAAATGGCTGAGGTGTTAAAGTTTCAGTTGTGCTGACGCTCACTTTCTCTGCTCGTAGATCCGATGCTTAAGAGGGCAGCGGGGCTTACGCGGCCAACCCAGTTTTGATGGGATTCATATAGTCAATCACTATGGAGGGGACAACGAATCCTACCAGTCCTCTGATGACGATGGAGTGAAGCTGTCACCCCAGCTGACCAGTCATCAGGTTAGAGGCCGGATCACACTACATCCAAACCTGGAGGACTCGGAAAGTGAGGGTGATGAGGAAGGAGATGCCCTACGACTTAGTGTGCCCTCAAATGGCAGCCATAAGACAACTACAGTGTGATCATCTGGATTGGTGACACAAACTGCCATCGAAGGTCTGGGAAGGAGAGTGTGACTTTAAGCTCGTCCTTTAAATCTGCCTAGAGCATTGAGCATGGGACTCAAACTGGAGAACTTGAAAAGCCCTCGTTCATCTTTACAAATGGACTTATGGAGTCTTATCTTTCTTAAGGTCATGGTTTACATCTGCATTTGTTTTGTTTTTGCCAAAATGTGTCAGATGTTTGTCCTGGCACTAGTTTTTAATTTTAGCCTCAAAAAAAAGAGGACGAATAGGCCTCTTTAGGCTCTGAGACCCTTGTAATCAAAATCAACGTTTTGTGGCAAGAGATTCCCAAACCTTAAAAGGTGGGTGTTTCTAATACCCCACGTTTTTTCACATTACGAGAAGCGATTTTGTATAGCGTAGTGTTTTATGCATTAAGAATTTGCATTGGCATAGCTTTTATTTTTTAAATCATCCTTTTTTAACAAACCACGAGAAACCAGTGAAAGCATAACTTTTGAGGGAAACGTATTACGGAACACTATTATCTTTAAATGCACATTAAACTGTTCCATATTAATACAGTGGTGTCATATCGTAAGTTAGCAAGCCTTGTTTTCCTGGCATGAATTATACGATTGGGTCTTGAACACATTAAGTGTGGGTCAAGGAACCAGTATCTATGTAAATATGTACATGTTTTGATTGTTTTTCCATCTCCATTATTACTTGAAAATATGTATTCAATGGACGTCATGTCTATATTGTAATGTATTGTACAGTTAAGTTGAAAGGGATGTATTACTGAATTAGGGAGGTCTTTGGAGGCAACAGCTTTTCCTGGCACACTGCTGTCCGGTAACTTTTATGTACTGTAGCTCTGATGTAGGCAGTTCTCCGTTTCACAGAATGGAGTTTTTGTTTTGTGACTGGAAACATTCTATGAAATTCTTGCTGATTTACAATATTTTCTACAGTATGTGGTATGCTGAGCATGTTATGAATAATGAATACCTGCAAACTGATGGAATCGAAGGCAGGGAGTGTGTCGGTTAGTGGAACAATGTTCTCATTATTTCTGGCCTTACTTAAGCCAAGCACTCACAGGCAATGAGAATACATGTACACAGACTGCCCCTCTTTTTCTTTTTTTATATCCATATTTGTACCAACTAGCTTCTGAATCAGTTTGCTTTTTTGCACAGATGACATGCATATCACTTCACAACAATGGAAACTACTACTATTCCCTGTTTATGTCAATTGAGCTTCACTCTACAGTTGTTGTTCTCCTCCAATGAGTTTGTATGTCCCAATGGTTCATTTGAAGACTTGCAAAGAAATGAAGTTATTTCACATCAGTCTGCTATTTCTGATGTTATGGTTGGCTGGAGATGAATAGCACCAGAGAACAAGCCTTAAAACCCATCATGATGGATGTAAAGTTGGTACACCATTTGCCCACCTTTTAAAACGGCTAGTTCACCTCCAAAAAATAGGACTTTGCGAAACGAACTTGCAAAGCACAAAACACTAAAGTGATTTAAAGTAATTAAGTAAAAACATTATTTAATATAAACTAAAACCTTACAAAAAATTAAGTTCCTGTGGAATGTTCCTGTGGGCATTACAGACTGTAGACAATGCAAGATAAGTGTCTTGAAGATGACAGATATGTTGATTCAGATCACAATAAAATATCATTTGATACTGGCCTACGAATGTAATGCTTTGTTCGCATTTTTCCGTGCAGCATCAGAATTTACAAAAGAAAATAAAGTAATTGTTTAATGAGTTGTTTGATAAATAGAAAATGTAGTCGTATATATATATATATATATATATATATACACTGTATATTCAAATAACATTAATAACGCAACACAATTTAGCAAAATTGTTTCTCTAGAAATCGAGAAAGAAACTTGCACCAATGTTTGGACGTGAATTTTTTTCCTGTATTGTGCGAGATTTAGCTATTTGTTAAAATTTTATGTAACAGTCTTACATGACAAATAAAACGCATTCAAGCTTTAAGCATTGCGCTTAAATAAACAGCTGCTGACGGTACAGCCCTCCTTATACCGGATTACTATTTAGATGTGTCGCAAATAACGTTCAGGAAGCTTTTTGTCTTATGCTCTTACGCTTAAAACCCCATGAGATGAGATGGGCTGCGCGCTCTTTGGCTTAAACTAAAACACCGCGACCATACTGCATTCATCTTCCAACGAATAGTGTGATCAGGTAAGCGCTCCAATTCCTGTTGGCAAATGAGCCCTTGTCAAATTTAAATTGATTGATCGGTATAAATATAAAACATAATTCTTAAATCAGGGTTTCGCTGAGAGCAAAATCACAGTTCGCGCGTTTCCAGTTATGCATGAAGTTTCATACTGTACCTACGAATTTAACATTAATAAAACTCATCGACTCATCTCAGCACTGTTTAATCAGTGCAAATGTAAACGATTTGATTTGTAGCGTTTGGTGTTTCGTTGATGACACCAGTTTAGTCAATTAGGACGTACATGAACGGATATTAGAGAAAAGCATCGCGTTATTTTGGTATAACGTTTTTGGTTGTTCGGATAAATAATCTTTTCTCTAGTCTGTCTTTATAACTATTATGCTCTGTATTTTAGAAGTGTAATATCATTCTAATCATTAGCTTATATTAACATTTTTATTCAGGAAAAAAAGCAACAAGACTACAGTCAGGATTTTTTTTTTGTTACTTTCTACTCTCTAGTTAATTTTATTCTGAGAGTTGCTTTATGGATCGTTACACTGACGCGATTCTGGGAACGACTAAAGTATTTGGTGCTGAGATTGTTATTTTTTCCAGTTATTACAGTGTTCTGTAAATAGCTTTAGGTTTCTGTCGCTTTGGTTATTTGGGATAAATAGGCTATAGCCTAACTGTATAAAGACTCTATCCAATATATGATTTTCGTGATGAAGCACAAAACAAAAGTGAGATAATGTTTGAGCATTAGTCAAGATATTGCCTATAGTGTCCTTACATTATCGGTATCCTACACCGGATGCCCTGCGGTGGCATGTCTAATCGACGGAGGGCACATTGCGCTTTGATTTCCTGGGCTTCGCACACTCTTCTGCAGATCCTGGACTGTGTGATTGTAGGCTATCAGTGTAGCCTACTGATGGGCGAGACAGATTTCATAAATCCATGCAGACTGGTCAAAAAGTGATCGAAACTTGTCCAAATGACAAGTTGAAGCAGTAGCCTAACTTAGGCTACATAACGGTGTGCCCACATCATTTTACAGCTTTTTTCTCAATATGACAGTAGCCTTGCGCTCTATGTAAGTGAAGTGAAGCGATTAATTTAGGAGACGGCTGTCACGAGTCAAAGGCAGGTGAGACGCTGGCTGTATGGGCTCCCACTGATTGTCTGCCGCACGAGCTGAATGCGTGTCCCTGTTGTGTCCACGACAGATCACCAGCGTCCACTCTGAACAAGGCAGCTCTGTTCACTGAGCAGCCACGAAACTCGAGAACACCGTGACCCCGCTGGCGTGTGGACCGCTTTATTCCAAGGCCACAAAAAACTAGTTTTACCATTTCACTTTGATAAAGCCCGCTTAATGAACCTATAGTCAATTAAAAAATCAAGAGCAGCGTGTTAAGATGTTTAACTTCAAGGAGCGTTTTAATTTCGGTGTTAACTAGACTTAATATAAATGTCATTCCACAAAATGGTTGATTTTTCATTTTGAAAATGTAAATAATTATTTAAATTAAATATTTCATTAAAAATTTAACTTCAGGAAATGATTACATCGAGCCATCTCAAATGTTTAATGACATGCTATGCCTTCAAAACTGGCTTGACGGTAAGTTTTATTGTTAATTTGGCCATTTTCCGCCTTGCGCTCAAGGACATGACATTGTGTTTATTAGAAAGAAAATTTGATGTTGATATTTCTACAAATGTCAGTTTCATTTTTTTTGATAGTTTTCTTTACAACATCATAACAGGGTTAACTATCTAGGATCAATAACTATTCTGGACAAAGGGAGAAAAAAAGTTGTTAAGAGAGGACAAACTTTCTTTGAAGAGTTGAAGGTGTCATTATGATGACGTTTAGATTGTCATATGACATTTTTTAATGGAATTGTACATGAGGGGGCGTGATGACGATAAAAAGTTGACACATAACCTGAAACTAAAATGTAAAAAATATAGAATTAGGCTAAAGAATAAATACAAAATTACAGTTCTAATTTCATTAGAACAGCAAGATTTCTTCATTTTTTTTTGTAGCAAAGTGTGCATTTTCGAATGCAGCACACGAAAATAAATGTAAAAATAAAGTAGCCTACATTTAGGCTATGTTCGATTTTTGTTGATGTGCATATATACTGCATATAATAAATAAGTTGTGTTAGCATTTACACATATTCATGTTTAAAATATATTAGGCCTAATTAAAGACACAAAAATATCCATCAATGACATCCATATTGTGTTAACAAAACACAAAATAAGCAAAAAGTAAGCTGTTTTCGAAAGTAAACTACTTTTTTGTTAACAGCCAGTTTTTAATACCTGCACAAATCATGAGTCTATAGAGGGAGAAGGCACAGGCTGTGTTGTCGTCTCCGCGTTTCCTCTCCCTCTGCAGCTAGGGATTGAGTAACACATTGATAAAACAGTGTATCACTTATCCTGATAGCCACGGTTCCCCCCGGACCTGTCTGTCCTCTCGTAGTGGGGCGGACCAATCACAGGCCTAAGGGTTGGTAGTTGTTCCTTTAAAGCACCTGTCTTCATAACACCTGGCAGACGAGAGAACTGCTTTACGCATGCTCCCACTCTGCCATATCCTCTATACAGACGCGCTGCTCAACCAATGGTCTTCAAATCTTTTCAGAGATAAAAAAGCCGCCGCATCCGTGGATCTGACAGATTGCCTGATCTTCACTAATGACTGAGGACATAGCAGGAAGGAACCAGAGGAGACACAATGCCTAGATCTTTTTTGGTGAAGAGCAAAAAAGCCCACAGCTACCACCAGCCACGATCTTTGGAGGATGACTACAACAGACTTGATACTATTTTAGCTCATATATGTGCAGGTATGTCAAAATTATATCGATTTATTGATAGTGTAGTAGATGACAATGCAAAATGCATCGCAATGATCAAACATACGTCAAACAGAAAGTGTATACCTAGGCCTATTTATTCAAAATAAAACAACGTTGTCTAGCTCTTTTTTAACCATAACCCTAACCCTTTTATTATGACATTTTTCCTTTTTAAAACTATTATTTTTCAGATTCCTAATAGATGAAAGACAGACTTGCTTGTCAAAGAAATAGCGGGCGTACGAGTTTTTACATTTGTGTGGGGGGAAACTCTAGATTCGAGATTTTAGTTGGCACAATGAGCCATTCATTCAGTAGTACATTAGATGTTCGTGAACAGTTGTGAGATAAATATTTTATTCAGCTGTGGTTTTGACCAAAAAAAAAAAATGAAATCTCGTAACAGAAAGCAAAACTTCAGACGAGTCAGAGTGCTGTATGGATGCCCTGACAGGCGACACGGCTGTCGCTTGTTCACCGGACTCTCACCTGGTGGATCAAGCGGATCTTTCTTCCAAGTCTCCTCTCAGCTGTGGGGGAAGCGTGTGCGACCGCTCCTCAGATTACGAAGACTTCTGGCGACCTCCATCACCATCAGCATCACCTGGTATGGATATATTTATTCACGTATTTAAGATATCTTTACATATGAATATACTTCTCAACCTGTTTTTAAACGTTTTGTGCTCTACCAAAACATTGTACACGTCGGTGAAAATTTGCATGAGGTAGCGACCATAATAGCCTGGCTGCTTGGGCACGCTTCGTTCATTTTGGATCAAATATTAATTGTAAATCTTTTGTGTTTTGTTTGAAAGTTATTTGCAAAATTAACCTCAACAGATTTTTGGCACAAATTGTACCTACGTAACATTTAGCCTATTAAGTATAAATTGGTTAAAACAATTTGACCCTTGGCTACACAGCTATGTAAGTCACTGTAAAATCCCAAACAGATTGATGTAATACGCGGAAATCATTAA